GGATAGTAATGGAAATGTTAATTAGTGACAAATTCACAAGGTGGCAGGATCCAGCTTACAAAGAGGTGAAAATAGCTCAAGGAGAATGAACAGGACTAGAATCTGATACTCCACAAGGGTATATTATAGTTTCCCATTGAAACATAAAATTTCTCTTTATAACCACCCAATTTTTATCAAAGATAATCAAGGTAAGACTTTTTGTTTGCAAAACAAGTCTAGTCTCATCAAACCTGGCTTGATTATGTCAGTACAACAAGAATAGTAATTGATGACATAGGCCTTTTGAACTTTAAGAATCCCAGACTGGACTTTTAAAAGCCTCAAGGCTCGGAATCCAAGCCAAGAACTTGGCATCAGACTTCTCTTGCATTCCTACAGATTTGGATGAAGTCCTCCTTTCCAGGTCCCCAAAATATCCTAAGCTTCCTGGGCTTGCCAGGAAGCAGCCTTCCTTACTCACCTGTAAGACTGGGACCCCTTTAAACCAGGTACTAGGCCAGTTTTCCAGGAGGGCTTTGTCTTAAGGAGGGTTTCCTTAAAGTAAGCCTTTGTTCCTTAAAACTGCACATCATCCTCAAATACGACATTCTAGTCAAAGCCTTGGTAATATAACCAGTGTTTCCAATTGTGTCATGTTATAAGGAGAACAAATTCTTATTGAACTTATTCAAATACCTATATTGCCATGAAAATAAATATTCAATAAGAATTTTTTCAAAATTTTGGAGAGTTCAAGCAGGGAGAAAAGATAAATGTTTCATTTTTGCTTGCAAAGATATAATCTAGTAAATTGCTGTAAGTTATGGATAGCTTAACAGAAAAGGGGTTCCTTAAATCCAGAAAATAGAGCATTAAAGAGCCAGCAGTATTCCAAGCAAAAGTCATAGAAGGAATTGTAATCATTCTTTTTCGGTCTGTTCAGCCCCATATGATAAATTCAAGTCTTTCTTGATTTGACTTAGCAATTTTATGAAACCATGAGCTTCTCCATTAGTTCTGGAAATCCTTATTCAGTCCAATGCTATGATCTTAAAGTTACGTAAGTAATGACCCTGGAAGCCTGTACCTCAGGACCTGTTGTAGTCTTTTCCATCAATCTCTGAGAATTTGTTTTTGAAGATGAAGCCTGTAGCTGATTACACTAGTTTTCAGGAAAGCATCAAAGCAAAACAATACCTCTGAATAACAAAGGGCTCAAAATA